GTGATGTCACAGCACTCTACTGAGGGTGACAAGGTGAGACTCTGTCTCAAAAAACCCCTCAAATCCTTGGGCCTGGTGTGGTAGCTCATTGTATAATCTTAACATTCTGGGAGGCTGAGGCAGAAGGATCCCTTGAGTTCAGGAGTTTGAGACCAGCCTGAGCAAGAGTAAGACCCTATCTCTACTAAAAACAGAAAAAATTAGCTGGGCAGTGAGGCAGGTACCTGTAGTCCCAGATACTCCAGAGGCTGAAGCAGGAGTATGTCTTGAACCTAGGAGTTTGAGGTTTCTGTACAGTAGGCTGATGCCACAGCTCCCTGGCCTGGGCAACAGAGTGAGACTCTGACTCAAAAAAAGAAAGAAAGGAAGGAAGGAAAAAGAAACATAAATAATAATGAAACTGTAAATGCAATGTAAGCTACTGAAATGCTTTACAATATATAAACATTTGAACTCAATTCCTTAAAAGGAAAGAGGGAAGTCTCAGACGGCTGCATCTACTTATAATAGATGTGTTTAGAATTTGAGAAGTAAGACGTTCACTGTCTAACTGAATTTTGCCCACAGTTTTGCTTTTTGACACTTTCGAGTAAGTGCTAAATACATAAGACTGTCTGTCCACCTAGATCACAGCTGCAAATGCAGGTGCCTTGTGCTGAAGTAATGTTGACATCTAAAACCTTTCCCCTAATAGTGAACATTTCTTGACAAGGCTCTCAAACAAAAGAAAGTATATTTTGTTTCAACATAGTTGTATGACTGAAAATTCAGTGTAAAATACTTTGTGTTGATGTATGGAGTAGAGTTGGATTCTGGCTTCAGATAATTACAAATGGCTTTTTCACCTAATAGGTGTCTTGTGGGGACAAAGTAATTTGTCTTCAGGGGACTGTCCAGTGCACTGCAGGACATTTAACACCCCTGGCTCCTGCCTCTTAATGCCAGTAGCTCTCTCCTCCCATCAGTGAGATGACCAAAAACACCCGCCTACCCCAAGAAAGGCTACAGTTGCCTCTTTGAGAATCATCTTTGGCACGAAGAGCACTGAGGATCAAACTTCTGGAATATGGAGGTCATAGCTCCAGGAGCTGGAGGAAGGAAGGGGAAACATCCAGGAGACTGGGAGGGGGTCTCCAGTTGGGCAGTAACACTTATTTGCTAAGATGGGGTGTAAGATTGAAGCACTGCGTTTGGAATTGTGTGTGCAACACGCAGAGGTGTAGGAGAGATTTCGAATAAAAGAGAAACTTTCTATATCTTTCTCCATTCTCTCTCCATCTCCATACTGGTCACCTCTCCCCAGGACAGCAGCAGCCTCCTCCCTAGACTCTCTCCACTTCTCTACCCAGATTCCAGTTTCCAGGCAGCACTTACAGCCATCCTTCCAGAACAGATCCTGACTCCCATCACGCCTGCTTTCCTCCCCTCCCTTGGTTGACAGCCTTCTTCCGTGCTGGGCCTTGGTAGCTGCAGTGTTCCCTGGCTGGAGAACTGTCTCCCCTCCTTTCACGTGTTACTCTTGCAAGCCTCAGAGTAAATCTCTTTTCAGGTTGGAAGGTTTCCCTGACCTCTCCTCACCAACCCCTGAAGTTGGCTAGATTCCGTATACACAGAAATAATTCACTGAAGAAGATTAACAAAGTAAATTTTTAAAGCGTGCCTAATAATTTGATTAATGTCTGTAAAAGCATGCCTCTGAGGGCAGGTTTAATATTTTGCTCACTGTTTTATACTCAATGCCTGACACTTAGTAGGTGCTCAGCAAAAGGTCTTTAACAAACGAATGATTGGATGGACGAGTGAATTTCTGCAAAGGCCGCCTGCAAGGGATCAAGGCGCACCGGCCAGATTATCTTTCACTTCCTGATCCCTGCGCAGTCCTGGCTGCTCGAGCTCCGGGCCTCGGTTTCCCCGACCTGCGCAGCGGGCGCGCTCCCGAGTCTCCAGGCCGGAGGGGCGCGAGCG